ACTCTAGGTACATTATAGTGTTGGTCTGAGATTGAAGACACAGTTGGACTATCTTGTAATTTGGTTCACGAACTTCAAATATGGCTTCTCAACTTGGAGGAAGCTTGACATTGCATGGATGATTATAAAGAAATGCAATATGTTGAACTCAAATCGACTGGAGTTTTCGATTCTGAAATCTCAATTAAATCTTATTAATTTTTGTTGTTCTTAATTTTTTTTTTATTTTTGACAATTATTTTGTTCGACATAATTTCTTCTACAGATACATGCTTAGACAGTCAAATTACTTGTTATTACAATCTTCAAGCTCAAATCCAAAAGTTCATCTAATTTTCTCTTCCAGTCAAAAAATCAATATGAAAGCCTACCTATTTCTTACTCATGAAATTTTTTTGAAGGCGTCACTTCACATTTTTCTTAATTCTTATCTCATCGAAAATTTCAGAAGGCAACTTGATGTTGAGATATATGTTGAATAAGACAACTCGATTTAGCTGGGGTAAGTTATTTCTTGACTTGTCAAATATGCTTGGTAAAACAACTTACTGGTGGACAATATATTTATTCTGTTTTACAACCATTTTTCGAAAATTCTTTTTTATATATATTCAGTTTCAACAGTACATTCACACAATAAAATATTTTTTTACGTAAATTCAAAACTTTTTCATGTTTTGTAACCACATATTATCGTAAAATCACTATTCATGTTACGTTTTGTGACTCAAATTCCATGTGAATTGGAAGTTTGATTTATGGAGGAAATCTGGATTATTTTTGTTTAAAGTCCAAGTAGATGAGGATTAAATTTCATACTTGATTGAGAGTTTGATTGGGATAAAGAATTTGAGATTAAGAACTCTACTTCATTTGTAACTCCAAGATTTAGCTCCTATAAATACTCCACAAGGTGTAGACTCTTTAGAGACTCAAAAGATAACAATTCGATCATTGTTGTATACATTAGAAATTTGAGAGAATTGTTTAGATTTAGATTGAGATAATCAAATCTTATAAAGATAATTTTAGTTTCTTTGTATAATAAATTCTCATTTTCTTCCACATAAATCTTGGTTGTTATGTGATCTATTATTTTCATATTATTCATATTTTTCTCGTCTTTAATTATTT